AATGATCACTAAAGTAAATTTCAGACACATATAATTATGAAAAAAAGAAGAAAAATTTAGCTAGGAGACAGCAAATTGAAAAAATGAAAATAGAGCAAGACACTTTTAGATTACTTTAGGTTTTTTAGCTCTTTTGAATTCGTATAAAGAATACCCTCTTTTAATGATTCTACTTTAGTTTTCACGGAGGTCTTGGTCCAGCCACCCCTCTTATTTTGTTTTATTGTTTCTGTTTTATTTTTATTACTGTAAAATAAAATCAGCCGCGTACCTAGTGAAGAGAAAAAAAAAGCTGACGCTTCCTTATAACTAGCATAGAAGAATCCAACTTTATCTTTAAACGGCTGATTAGGAATTTGACTTTATCAGTTTGTCATTTTTGAAATGGCACCCACCGTCTAATGTCTATCGTATTATATTTCTTCACGTGGAAGGAACTAAGATTACAAGTCATATCCTTTACGCAAGCTATAGCCAGCAGCTACCAATGAACATGGGTGACAAATTAAGCGTATACTTTTGAACCTTATATTAGCACATCTAAAAGTTAATAGATCAATTTGGACTGCATATGTAATCCCAATTGACCCACTAGAAATTTATCAAATACAAACATATTCTTTATTTTCTTTGTTTGTTATAGTCATGATAAATAAGTAAATTAAAAAATATATTTATTAGTTTGATTGATAATTAAGAAATTATAAAAGAACATATAAATAAAGGAAAATGATTTTGAATTGAGTCGAATAAGCTATGACCAATTATTTAATTTAAACTGATCCATATAGGGGTGTCAATGATTCGATCGATTATTTTGTAAAATTTATAACATATCAATTCTTCGATTATTCTAATTTGTATAATCAAAATTAGACTTTTCAAGACCGTCACAGTCATCTTGATTCTCTTCGGTATCGATACGATTCGGTTACTTTTCAGGTATTTTATAAATGTCATGTAAGAGTCGCTAGTAAAAGTTCGGACGCGATAATATACGCACTTATATAGGACTTTAGCAGAACTCTATAGACATTTATACTGTTTTAAAGACGATGAATCAAGTGAATATGAAAGATGACCAGAATACATATCAATCCCACTATTCTACATCAACATAAAAGAATTAAGCAAAAATAAGAGAAATATAAGTCACACGAATGAGAAGATATTAATCAATTTGGGTCTCAAGAATAGAGTATATTAGAAGATTGATTAGTCAATAAGAAAAATCTAAGTCATACGAGAGAAACGATATTCAATACCTTGTGGCTCTCTATTCAAAATCACTAAATACCTTGTGGCTTGCTACTATTGAACAAAATTTAATTTAAATAGGAGTAGCATAATATGTTTGGGAATAGCTAGTAACCATTTTCGTAATCTCAAAGCCCAAAAATCTTTTTTAGTGCTTTATTATTTTTAAACTTAATATAGAAACTATATTTTCATATATAATTTATTCGGTATTTTTGGTTACTTTTATAAATTTAAAAATCTATTCTAATTATTAGTATTGTTATAGATGTATAAAATAACCTACAATTTTACTAAGAGAAACCTAACAGTTGGTACAGCTCGATTCGATTTGTCAGATTAATAGATTTTTAAAGATTCATTTATCTGAACCCAAGCAAACACTAAACGATTCATTACTCAACTCATTTATTAATTTGATTCATTTAAATAGGTTAAATGTAGTCCAATACTTCCATTTAATACCACTGCCAATAAGAAACGATAGGATTTTGGACATTCAATGACGTGCACAAGTACATTTCAAATAATGGGGTATGTTAGGAGATAAAGGATAAAAAGTATATGTTTTGAGTATGTTTGTGTATTATTTCGTGTGTGAGTTGCGGGAGTTCACATCGCTTTTGAAGTGAAAATATGCTCATTATATGTAAGGATAAACTTGCGCGGAAAAGGATCAAATGGGAGAAAAATTGGTGAAAAGAAGAGCTGAAGAGAAAAGCCCCGGACAGCGAAGATCACTTCGCCAGATCGGGACCGAAGCAGAAGAAACCAGAAAAGTCCCGGACAATGAAGTGTGGGTCACTTCACCAGACCGGGACCGGGGCAGAAAAATTCAACTTTTCCAACCAATTAGGAGAAGCAATTTCGGTCCAACTCAACCCTAAACCATATAAATATGAAAGTTAGCCACTTTTTGAAGGGAGAGAAGACTTTGGAGAGGCAAGAACACGCTTGGAGTAAGGAGAAGGGTTCAACTTCAAGTTTTTTCCTCTTTCTTCCTAATTTTCCATTGTTATGAATTCTAATCTTGTATTTGTGCAAACAACTATGAGTAGCTAAATTCTCATTAGGGTTTGATGGAACCTATTGAATGATAATTTTTTCATTGCGTTTAATATAAATTTGCCATTTACTTTTCTCTATTTGTTCAACTATATTATTATTGTTGTTGGTTGAAGGGCCCTCAATTGATTGTGCCTATTTATTGTGTACTGCTCGAGAGAGAGTACGTATTTAGGTAGTTGTTGAACAACACCACTCCTAACGTATTTGAGAGATCAATACGGAGAGTTTAAAGACGGGATTAGAGATAACGAAACCTTGGTGCGATCATAGTGAGCGGTGACTTAGTGCCAGCTAGCGTAGTTCGAGAGAATACATCTAATAAATTATGGTAGTTGCTCGAGAGAGAGCTACACACTCAAAATACTCATAATCGGTAGAGAATACTTGAGTGAATTTATAAGAAATATAGCGGGGGAGATTCCGACAATAGGGGAAATCAAAATCCTAGACCTTTCCAATCTTGTCTACAACATTTGCTTTGTTAGTATTAAAATTACAGCTTTTTAATAACCTTGGTTTTAGTTAATAAACAATCAACTTATTATTCAATATTTTTGAAGGTTGATTACTTGAATTCTTGCGAAACTAGTAGTTTTGATTAGTAGGTTAATTCCCTATGAGATTCGACTCCAGACTTATAAACCAAATTATATTTGCAATGACCGCTAGACATCTTAGAAGGCATAGTTAGGCATGATCAAATTTTGGCGCCGTTGCGGGAGAATTAACGGTGTTATTAATTACAGCTAGAGGAATTGCTAGGATTCTTAGTTTAATCAAATTTTTTTCATTTTAAATTAATTATATTGAAATTCTAATGTTTGTAGTCTTAGGTGTTATAGGTGCATGCCTAGAAACTCATCAAGAACTGGTAAATTGTTTGAAGCATTATCAGATCCTGGGAAAGCTTTCAAGGAATTAAATTGTGCAAACAAGAAGGACAAACGACAACAGAACGAATCGAACTAGACATGTGTGACGTCACAGACGACCAAAACAACCGAAACAATGTGAATGACCCGGACAATCAGGGTGTGGCACCTCTTGTGCCAGAAGTAGCCTTGTATGATTGGGCACAACCCACCGCTGAAAATATGGCAACCACAATTGCAGTCCCTCAGATACAAGCGGAATCATTTCGAATCACAAACAACATGTTACATTTGTTGCAGAACAAGAGACTGTTTTCAGGGTCTTACATTGAAGATCCTCAGCAGCATCTGAAAAATTTCTCGTCGGTTTGTGTCATGCAATGGCAACCAAATGTGACACTGGAAGCAATAAGGTTGTTGTTGTTTCCATTCTCAATGATGGGAGAGGCTCAGACTTGGTATATTCGCTCCCCATAAACTCCATCACTACTTGGGAGGAAATAGTCAAGCAGTTTTTGAACAAATTCTACCCACCCAATAAGACTGCCAAGCAAGTTGATGAGATCTTGAGCTTCAGGCAAAAACCAACAGAAACATTGTAAGAGACGTGGGAGAGAATCAAAGGGATGCTGGTAAAGTGTCCACATCATGGCATTCCAGATCAGATGTTGGGGCAAAGGTTCTATATGGGATTGGCAGACAGCTTGAAGGCCAATGTTGATGCTTCAGCAGGTGGAGCATTTTTGAGCAAATCATTCAGAGAGTGTAAGGTTTTGCTTGATAAAATGGCTCAAAACTCAGGATTGATGACAAGGGACTCTAAAATCACTCTGTAGCCCTAGCTAGACCCAAACAACTCCATGCCTAAGAACATGGCTACTGTGACAACGCAATTGAGTATCCTCACTAAAAAGATTGATGAGTCGGGCCAAAAGTAGGTGCACATAGTTGACACGACTAATGGAGGCTTATGCACACCATGCATTAACCAACCATATGTGTGCACGTGGAGTGGTGAAAGTGACACTCAAAACTATCAAGAGAACATGAACTATGTGGACAACTATGGAGGCCAGAGGCAAGGTGGTCAGAATTAGGGGCATCATAATTAGCAGTATAGACCAGCACAACAGCAATACAATAACAACAACAATCCTGGAGCTATGCGACCACAGGGTCAAGTTGTGCCTTACCAATGGCAACAAGGATACAATCAGCAAAATCTGCAGCTAGCTTATCAACAGCCTCAACAACAAGAGATAGTTAGACAAGATGATGGGTTGTCTGAAATTAAAATAATGATGCAACAACTGATTGGGTCCAATGGGAAAATGCAAGAGAAGGTTGAACCACACGACTCAGTGATAAAAGGCAATGTGATTCAATTAGGGCAGATATCTATAGCTTTGAATAATCATCCCCAAGGGACACTACCTGCGGACACACATGTCAATCCGAAAGAGCATGGGCTGAAGCAGCTGATGGCGGTAAATTTGAGAAATGGTAGAGATCTTGATTTAGAGCGAGAAATTGATCGCGAGAACCGACCAACTGAGATACTTGTGCCATTACCAATTGAGGTAGATGAGTCAACTAAGCTAACTGAAGTAGGAGTGCAGCCAGCTCAAGAGGAACTGAACAAAAATAAAAGAGGTTGCAAAGGAAACTGAGAAAGTGCAAGAAAAGGCATTAGAAAAAGTGTCTGATCAAGATCTAACTCAAGTCACAGGAAAGAAGCGATCACCAACACCCTCCCCGTAGAGGTTGGCCAAATATCAGAAGGATAAGAAATATAAGAAATTCATGGAGATGTTGAAGCAGATCCAGGTGAACATTTCACTGATTGATGCCTTAAGGGAGATGCCCGGTTATGCAAAAATGATGAAGGACTTGATGTATCGCAAGTTTGACTTTCAAGACTTGGCAATTGTGACACTAACCCAGACTTGTAGTGCTGTTATAATAAGACCTATAGCGGAGAAGCTATTCGACCCAGGGAGTTTCACAATTCCGTGCACCATATGCAGCGATGCTTTTGCCAAAGCATTGTGTGATTTGGGGGCGAGCATAAACCTGATGCCCTTGTCTATATATAAAAGGTTAGGCATTGGAAGGGCAAGATCCACATCCATGTTACTACAGCTAGCCGACCGAACGGTGAAGAGGCCATCAGGTATACTTGATGATGTACATGTGCAGGTTGGAAAGTTTGTGTTTCCGGCAGATTTTCTCATTCTGGACTGCTAAGTTGATGAAGAGATCCCCATAATTTTGGGGAGTCCATTCTTGGCCACATGGAGAGCTTTAATTGATTGTGAAACTGGGGAGCTAAAGATGAGACTAAACGATGAAGAAATAATGTTCAATGTGCAAAAGTCTATGCGGCGACCCAGTAAGTTTGCTAACTGCTCTTTGATTGAAGCCGTGGATGTGATTCTGGAGGAGGAAAATGAGGCACTGAACACAAAAGACCCTCTAGTAGCCTGCCTGATAAACTTAGAAGAGGTAGATGGTGAGGACTTGGCAGAGTGAGTTTTGGCTCTTGAAGGGCAAGGATACTAGAAAAGAGAGCTCGAAATTGATCCTTTACACTTACAAGAAAGAAAGACTCCTCCAGTTATGCCATTAATTGTAGAGCCACTATATTTGGAGCTAAAATTGTTACCGTCTTACCTCAGGTATGCTTTCTTAGGACCTAGTTCGACATTTCCTGTTATTATCTCATCTGTTTTGTTAGATGTGCAAGTAGAACAAATTTTGCAGATTCTGAAGGAGTGTAAGACTGCAATTATGTGGACCATTGCAGACATAAAAAGTATCAGTCCAACATTAGGTATGCATAAGATTCTACTGGAAGATGGGCACAAACCTTCTAGAGAACATTAAAGAAGGCTGAATCTCAACATGAAAGAAGTGGTGAAGAAAGAAGTGATCAAGTGGTTAGATGCAAGAATCATCTTCCCCATCTCTGACAGCAACTGGTCAGCCCAGTTTAATGTGTGCCAAAGAAGGGTGTAATAACTGTAGTGGAAAATGATAACAACAAGTTGATCTCAACAAGAATAGTTACAGGATAACGAATCTGTATGGATTACAGAAGGTTGAACAAGGCCACCCGAATAGACCATTTTCCACTGCCTTTAATTGATCAGATGTTAGATAGATTGGCGAGGAGGTCCCATTTTTTCTTCATGGATGGATACTCGGGGTATAATCAGATCTCTATTGCCCCGGAGGATAGAGATAAAATGTCGTTCACCTGTCCGTATGGCATCTATGCCTTTTGGAGAATGCCGTTTGGCCTATGCAATGGACCCGCCACATTCCAATGGTGCATAATGGCTATGTTCACAGATATGGTAGAGGACATAATGAAGGTTTACATGGATGACTTCTCGGTGGTGGGGAACGCATTTGATGAGTGCCTAATAAACTTGAAAAGAGTATTGAAGAGGTGTATGGAGACTAATCTGGTACTGAACTGGGAAAAGTGCCATTTCATGGTACAAGAAGGTATAGTCTTGGGACACCTAGTGTCCAGTAAGGGCATTGAGGTGAACTGTGCTAAGGTTGATGTAATTGAGAAGTTACCTTCACCCACTTCCGTCAAGGCCATAAGAAGTTTCCTTGGTCACGCTAGCTTCTACAGGCGGTTTATAAAAGATTTTTCTAAAATTGATAACCCTTTATGTAAATAACTTGAAAACGATCACCCCTTTGTCTTTTCTGATGACTGCAGGGTAGCTTTTGAGGAGTTGAAGAAGAGGTTGGTGACTGCACCAATTATAGTGGCACCTGACTGGGAGCAACCTTTTGAGCTGATGTGTGATGCAAGAAATTATGTTGTGGGAGCAGTTCTTGGGCAGCGAAAAGATAAAGTCATGCATCCAATCTACTACGCAAGTAGAACCTTGAGTGGTGCCCAACTAAATTACACAGTGACCGAGAAGGAGATACTAGCAGTGGTGTTCGCATTTGACAAATTCAGGTCATACCTGGTAGGCTTGAAGGTAATTGTTTCTACTAACCATGCTGCTCTCAGGTACCTAATTTAGAAGAAGGAGTCAAAGCCACGCCTGATTCGATGGGTGCTACTGCTGCAAGAATTTGACTTGAAAATCCGTGACCGAAAGGGAACGGAGAACCAAGTGGCTGATCACTTGTCTAGGCTGGAAGGAGCAGAGAAGAAGGTTGAGGTGGAAGAGATTGTAGAGACTTTCTCGGATGAACAACTGTTGGCCACGAGCCTTGAGGTATCGCCATGGTATGCAGACATTGCAAACTACCTGGCGAGCGGTATTGTCCCCTATGATTTTTCCTCTGTCCAAAAGAAAAAGTTTTTTTGTGACTGTCGCACGTATTATTAGGATGAGCCTTATCTGTTCAGGATTTGTGTTGATAACATGATCCGGATATGTATCCTCGAGACAGACCAATCTTCTGTTTTGCAGGTTTGTCACACATCCCCATATGGTGGCCATTTCGGGGGAGTAAGGACAACTGCGAAAGTTTTGGAGTCAGACTTCTACTGGCCTTCAAAGATGCACATCTCTATGTGAAGGGTTGTGATGAATTCCAATGGATCGGGAATATTTCTCGCCGACATGAGATGCGCATGAACCGAATACAGGAGGTGGAAGTGTTTGATGTATGGGGAATCGATTTCATGAGGCCTTTTGTCAGCTCATATGGAAACAAGTATATACTTGTAGCTGTGGACTATGTGTGAAAATGGGTGGAAGATGTGGTACTCCCTACAAATGATGCAAAGGGAGTCATTGTTTTTTTGAGAAAGGATATATTCACCCAGTTTGGCACTCCAAGGGCAATAATCAGTGATGGAGGCACTCACTTCTGCAACTGAGCTTTCGCAAAGTTGTTAGAAAAATATGGTGTTCGCCACAAGGTTGCCACCTCATATCATCCACAAATAAGTGGGCAAGTGGAAGTGTCGAATAGAGAAATAAAGAGTGTGTTAACAAAGACCGTGAATGCTACAAGAACGGATTGGCCGAAAAAGTTAGACGATGCACTCTGGGCCTATCGTACTGCTTTTAAAACTCCAATTGGCATGACTCCGTATAAACTAGTATTTGGTAAAACGTGTCACTTACCAGTAGAGTTGGAGCATAGAGCTTTGTGGGCATTGAGGCAACTGAATCTCGATATGTAAATAGCGGGTACAAGAAGAGTCACAGAGTTGCACGAGCTTGACGAGTTCCGTTACCATGCTTTTGAGAGTACATGGCTATATTAGGAGAGAATGAATATGATGCATGACAAAAATATTCTTGAGCGAAATTTTAAACCTAGAGATGTGGTATTGCTATACAATTTGAGATTAAAGTTGTTTCCGGGCAAGTTGAAGTCTAGATGGTCGGGACCATTCAGATTAGTACATGTGCTATCAAATGGAGCTACAGAAATTGAGTACGAGGATGGGACGAATAGGTTTAGAGTAAATGGGCAAAGGTTGAAACACTACCTACGAATGAGTGACAAAAAAGGAGAGAAAGATGTGATACAATTGAACGAACCTCAATATGTGAGTGAAGTATAATCCAGAAAGTGTGCGTCATGCCGCGACGTTAAATCAGACGCTTCGTGGGAGGCAACCCATTGTAATGTTGTAATTCGTCGTGCTGCGATGTTAAATCAAGCGCTTGTTGGGAGGCAACCCAATTTTCTTATTTTCGTCTAGTTGTCATTTAGTCTCTAAAAAAAAAGAGAGAACGCGGGGGACAGCGAAGTGAAGCTAGCTTCACGAGATCGAGACCAAGAATATTGAGGAGAAAACTTTTTGGGACAGCGAAGTGTGTCTCGCTTCGTGAGACCGGGACCAAAAGAGAAAGAAAAAGAGAAGAAGGGACAACAAAGTGCCCGTGGCTTCGCGAGACCGGTACTGGCCATAACTGAACAAGTAAATGGGCGCGTCTCCAGGTCGCGCGGTCATAGCGCGACCCCAGGTAATTTCTTAATTTTTTTTTCTTTTCTATTTTTCTATTTTCTAGTTAGTTTATAAAATAAAAAATAAAATAAAATAAAATAAAAATAATTAAAAAAAACTCTCCCGTTCTCTTAAGTCATGACACTATTGGACAAGCGAGACTTGCTCAGTTGGTAAAGTACCTCCACTCATGTCCATTAGGTCCTGGGTTCGAGTCATACTGGAGGGGAAGTGTGGAAACACTATAGATCCTCCTAATTTGGGTGGGATTTAAAAAAAAATAAAAAAAATGACACTATTGGCAAATTGAATCAAATGAAGCTAAAACAAAAGTTGTGCACATAAAGTGTTCCATGATTTGTCCTAATGAAAATTTGTTTTGGTGAGGTTTAGTGAAGTCTGAGTAGCTAACCTACCGTTATTGGCAATACGAACATATCTTAAGTGTGGGGTGGCCGTTGGCTATCTTATGAACTTCAATTGTGTTCTTTCAAAGACAAGTATCATCCGCGGCCAACTTAGGGATAACTGAGGTGTGCCTTACCCACATGTTGTTGAATTGTGCTAAATAACATGGAATAACTATCAAGTTACAGGCTGATGCAGAAGGGCTTCAGACAGTTGATTTGAGTGCTACTGATGGTACTATTGCAGAGGAGCCACGACTAGCCGCTGTGACCGAGGTTCACTACCGGTCATCACCTCGACCCGAGTGATTTTGAGAGAGTTTATGACACCCACTCTACTTTTGATCTTGCTTATTTGTATTTATGTGATATTGTGCAACCGAGGACAGTGCACATTCTTAAGTGTGGGGTGGGGTGTCTGGCTTTAATATTTCTGTCATGTGTTTAATTGCTAGTGATATATTTTGAACTGCATGATCACTCTTATAACCATTATAATTGTATAATTGTAGTAGTTTTTTTTTGTAGTGGCTTAATCCCGGGTTTTCTTTAAACCACGGATCTTTTTCGAGGATGCAGTTTCTTGAACTAGGTAGTTTTAGGTAGATCTTTTCTTTTCAAACTTTGTAAAGAATTATGGATTTTTCCTGACGATGGATTACCGAGACAGTTTTCTTGAGGGACTAAAGTCTAAAGAAAAAAACAAAAAGATTTTTTTGTTTCTCTTTTATGTTGTTTTCTGGTTGAAACGACAATGGAATTAGGAAAAAGCTTGAGTAATTTGTTCTTTTGACATGTTTTATATCGAGACTTTGGTCTGGAGCATTTGAACTAAGTACTTTCTTCATGATCTCTATAATTACATGCCTTCACAATATGTGTGGCTTTCTTTTGACACCGAGGCTCATCTCTAGACTCTTGTGATTAATTTTTGTGTGCTGAAAGTTTATGATGAATGTGCTCGTTGCTTTAACTCGAGTGTCAGGTCCGAGCCGTCCTAAGTGAGTCATGTACATTGTGTGAGGTGAGACTTTAGTGTACTTTATGCCATCCTTTCTAGTCTAGAACTTTCCCCGTGTGTGAGTCAAAGCGAAATGATTAAGTCTTGTAAGTTTGGGAAGTGATAGAGGCTTTCTTTGATTGACCATTTAGCCTATTTGCCTACCAGTGCTAATGGTATCCATAGTCAACCGTTTTGAGCATGTAGACCTTTTGTTTGGAAACCACATTACAAGCCGAATACCTTTTGCTCTGAATCAAATCTTGTTGGACCTTTACCTCCGAAAGTACTTAAGTAGATAGAAGAGTAAATAAAGAAAGTGGGTAGCTTTTGAGTGGAACCATAAAAAGGCCGAAAAGGTACACTTGTGTATAAATAAATACTAGCCAGAAATACCAAATTGAAGAAAGTGAAAAAAAAAGAATAACACCTCTCATATCTTTGTCTGGGTTAGTAAGTATCTATATGTTGATGTGCTTAATGAAGAAGGGCCTAAATGTGTATGGTTTCATGGCAAGACATCGAATTGGTCAAGATAAAAAGGTGCTTAAAAGTGAACTGTAGTGTATTTAAGTACTTAGGAGGGTTAGTCACTATTTTTTCAAATATATCCTACCCGTCCCTTAGCCTACATTACAACCTATAAAGTCCTACTTGATCCTAGACTGTACGAGCTTAAATTATTAGAGACATACACTACGGGCAAGCCTATGGTACTAACGTGGGTGGCATAAGAGTTTCTTTGTGAGAGTGATCGAATTCTTTCTATATTTGAGTCCTTAAACTATACTTGAACTTAAATTAAGTGTGTGAACTACTTTCTCTCCGTGATTTGTTAGCGAGGGCATATGATTTGTAAAGGATTGGTAGTGACCTTGATTTTTGAGTTGGCACAAGGAGCGAGTCATAGTGTGGAATGCATTAGAGTAAGGTTTTGAGGCAAGATTGCTAGAAAGATCCACACAAAAATTTTAAATAATTTTGGCATGAGTTTAAAACTTGAGGAAAGGTATAAATGGTGCATATGCTGGAATCTGTGCATATGCTGGAATCTAAACGTTGATGTAAACCATTGTCATTGGTGTTCACCTTGCGTATGTTTTGAAAGGTGATTCTTGATTATGTTCATACCCTGAAGCTGCTCGAGAACGAGCAAGAGTTTAAGTGTGGGGTGGTGATAAAGGATGAAAAGTGCATATTTTGAGTGTGTTTGTGTGTTATTTTGTGTGTGAGTTGGGGGAGCTCACATCGATTTTTCAGTGAAAATATGCTCATTATGTGTTTCTTATGTGTAGGGATAACTTGCGCGGAAAATGATCAAATGAGAGAAAAATTGGTGAAAAAAAGAGCTGAAGAGAAAAGTCCCGGACAGCGAAGCGGGGGTCACTTCGCCAGATCGGGATTGAAGCAGAAGAAACCAGGAAAGTCCCGGACAGTGAAGTGAGGGCCATTTCGCCAGATCGGGACCGGGGCAGAAAAATTAAACTTTTTCAACCCGAATTAGAAGAAGCAATTTCGGCCCAACTCAACCCTAAACCATATAAATATGAAAGTTAGCCACTTTTTGAAGGGAGAGAAGACTTTGTATAGGCAAGAACACGCTTGGAGCAAGGAGAATGATTCAACTTCACATTTTTTCCTCTTTCTTCCTAATTTTCCATTGTTATGAATTCTAATCTTGTATTTTTGCAAATAACTATGAATAACTAAATTCTCATCTAGGGTTTGATGGAACCTATTTAAGGATGATTTTCCATTGCGTTTAATATAAATTTGCCATTTACTTTTCTCTACTTGTTCAACTATATTATTATTGTTGTTGGTTGAAGGACCCTCAATTGACTGTGCCTATTTAGTGTGTACCGCTAGAGAGAGAGAGTACGCATTTAGGTAGTTGTTGAACAACACCACTCCTAACGTATTTGAGAGATCAATACGGAGGGTTTAAAGGCCGGATTACAGATAACGAAACCTTGGTGCGATCATAGTGAGCAGTGACTTAGTGCCAGCTAGCGTAGTTCGAGAGAATACGTCTAGTAAATTATGGCAGTTGCTCGAGAGAGAGCTACACACTCAAAGTACTCGCGATCAGTAGAGAATACTTGGGTGAATTTATAGGAAACGTAGCGAGGGAGATTCCGACAATATGGGAAATCAAAACCATAGACCTTTCCAATCTTGTCTACAATATTTGCTTTGTTAGTATTAAAATTATAGCCTTTTAATTATCTTGCTTTTAGTTAATAAACAATCAACTCATTATTCAATATATTTGAAGGTTGATTACTTGAATTCTTGTGAAACTAGTGGTTGTGATTTGTAGGTTAATTTTCTGTAGGATTCGACTCCGGACTTATAAACCGTATTATATTTGCAACGACCGCTAGACCTCTTAGGAGACATAGTTGGGTGTGATCATTAGGCTTAACGGAGCTATTCAGCCATTGGCTGTGTCTAGTAACTTTGGTGCACTATGACTTATGTGGCTTCATGTACAAGAAAATATAATTGCGTCCTAAGATCTATTGTCTTAATATATCATTTGATTTGTCACGATCCAAAATCCTACCAAGTCGTGATGACATTTAACCCAACCCGTCACACGAATCAACCAACACAAATACAACTCAAGCCGAAGATTATCATATAAATAATAAAGTAAAAATATGAAATTTAATATAAATTATCCCAAGAATTATAATCATAAATCATGAGCAACTAAGAAATAAAATACAATACTGATATGAAGAAAATACATTATCCGTTTAAAACATACAAAATAGAAATTCATGGTTCTAAACAACCATGAACAAATTGCAGCTAAAAACTAGAATTTTTAATATCCCTTTAATGCTCGCTCACGAACTCTGTAACAACTCAGCTCCAAAATCTACACACAAGGTGCAGAAGTGTAATATGAGTATACAAGAACAATACTCAATAAGTATCCTGACTATTTTCTAATAAATTAGTGACGAGGGTCTAGTCAAAATACTCACTTTATAAACTTGTATATTGCTTATACCTAGTAGAAATAGAGAAAGTGTACAGAAGCAACATAACAAGCTAACACAGCTAAAGCATAAAACAATATGCACAAACAGAGCAAATAAAGTCGTGCACCCTATCTCGATCAAGCAAGTCTCATGCTTGTATCAATGTATCAAAATAACATACATAGTGATATTCATAGTCTAAGCATGTAATATGATGCATGATTTCTCAAAAAATAATCAAATGCATGTATGCAATACATCGAAACGACATATATTAATCATATGTATAACTATGCATATAAAAATATATGAATAGGCATAAGAATTCACTTAAATATAATAAAGCTTCCACCTTTATACTTAAACTCATCAACTAGTATCATAATCAAAATAGTAACCCGTCAATTTATGTGAATTTCTGAACCTGCACGTATGAAATATGGGAGGGCGACTCCAAAGGTATAGATCCTTATCCACACGCAACATAAACGTAATTTTACAGGCCTAACAGATACATGCAATGACATGCCCAAACGGAGATGCCCTATATGATACTTCAACAAGAACATGTAATGACATGTCCAAATATATGTCTCAACTGGAACATATAATGACATGTTCAAACTGATACCTCAATAAAATGTAAATGTACACACACCCAACAACTCAGCTTTTTACATAACAATCTCAAATAAGTACTGAAAATAAAATATATGTACTAACAAAACGTATATAAGAAATAATATATGACTAAGTAGTTCATCATATAAAACGGGTACATGAATTCTGTAATATTAAACTAGCATGTAAATGATGCCTATAATGTTATACTAGCATGAACAAGATGCTCAAGTTGTCATGCAATAATTAATCATGACATACGATACCCTATTATGTTAAAGTACCATATGAGAAATACCTAAAATATGATACTAGCATGTGAAGATGCATAAATAGTCATAGCACAAGTAAATTAAGTAAAGCAAGTGAAGCGCATCCATCTACCCAAGCGTAGAAGCACATGGTATCCGCATATACGGTTGGTACCTTGCGTATACGTTACCTTCAAACATGTAGCATAGAGCAAATAAAACAATTTAGAAAACATTCCTTCACTGAGGTCAAGGCTCAACTTACCTCGGCTTTAGCCTAGCTCTATTTTCAAAAACCGCATTTACTTGATCCAAATCCATCATACAAGCTCGCTTTAACCCAAAAAATACCTCAAGATGCCAAACAAAGTTATATGACTCAAAACATAGACTTAGGTCAAAGTTAACAAAGTTAACACCAGGCCCACATGGTTAAATCTCGAAATAAGATTCGGACCTTGTTGACCCAACTTTACAAGTTCAAATATATAGTTAGATTCTCAATCCAAATTCATATTGATATTCAGACCCTAAAAAATACATTCTTTTCATTCAACTCAAAAAACCTTATTTTTATCTTTTGATTTCATGATTATTAAAGTTGAGCTTAAATTAGTTTTAATAATTAATATATAGTAGTCTATAAACTAGGTCCTTTGAAGATATTTGATGTACTAATAAATAAGGTTATTGACTTATCAAGTAGGTATTAAAAGAACTAAGTCCCTTGATGCGCGTTGATCAGGAGCTACAAGATGATTCCTAATATAAGTAGAATTATTTGAAGGACTTATTTCGCATGTTACAAGTTTTGTACCAGCCGAAAAGATTTATTAAAGTATGAGTTATTTAAGAAAAATAAGACTTACTAGGATTATTTTCCTAAATTAATTTCTTTTCGATTTTGGGGAAAAATTAGAGAAGTATTCCTATTATAAGTAGAATTATTTGAAGGACTTATTTCGCGTGCTACAAGTTTTGTACCAACTGAAAAGATTTATTTGCAAGAAGGATTCAATTTATAGAAACACTTGCATGGGAGGAAAGGCGTGTGAAGTATGAGTTATTTAAGAAAACTAAGACCTACTAGGATTATTTTCCTAAATTAATTTCTTTTTGGTTTTGGGGAAACATTAGAAAAGTATTTCAGCCCAACTTCATTCTTTTATAAAAAAGATCACATTGTTACTATTGAACTAATGTTATTTCACATAATTACCAAGAACTATTCATAAAATAGCATTGCAAGAAGTCGCTTTCAGGAATTCAAGTTGCACAACTGAAGAACCTAGTCCCAAAGATGATGTTGTTAAGTTCTTTAATTATTAAGTCTTGATTCATTGGTCTTAAATTATAAAGTACTAGAGTTAGTGTCACGATCCCAAAATCCCACCTAAGGTAGTCGTGATTGCACCTAATCTCTAAGATTAGGTAAGCCTAATATTCATTGATAGCTTAGCAGAATTAACAACTAAGATAATAAGATAATTCGATAAAACTCATAATAACTCCAAAACAAAACATATGTAATAAAATTTTCAAAACTGATGGAACTGAGTCATAAGCTCTACCGGAATATACTGAAAATTTCTAGTACACCACTGTCTAAATAAAGTGTAAACAATAGTAAAAGTAAGGATATAAGGTGACTCCGAGGCCTGCGAGCGTCAAGCAGGTATATCTTGAAGTCTCCGAAATATATGGTCAAATCACTAATGCCTAGCCGGAGTTGAAGTACTTGGATCTGCACAAAAATATACAGAAGCGTAGTATAAGTACACCAAAACGGTAATAAGTAAGTATCAAAATTAACCTCAATAGAGTAGTGACGAGGCTAGGTCAAGACACCTACTAGGATAAGAGAAACTGAACAAGGTATAGTATGAACAAATAATGGAAGGCGAGGAAATACATGACTATAAGGGAGTTCAATAATGTAATCTAACAACGAAATTCAAAGCAATAAAGGCAACAAGTAATGAACACATGATCAAACAGAAAAAAAATTAATACGGACAATTACAAGTAACGTAAATAAGGAGATAACAAAACCGCTCAACCAACAAGCCTCTTTAACACAGAATGTACAACAAGGATCAGAGCCGAGGTACCGCCTCGTATCCACATTTTACAATTCAAAATAACATCCTTTACGTATACTGCTGCGTGAGCCTTACATTTAGTTATTTTTGAAAATATGTAGCTACACGCACATTAGCCCCCTTATGTCGCCGCGTGGCTTCAAGTAATTCCCTTACTAGCAACACGCACATAAATTCCCACCTTATGTCGCTGCATGCACATTAATCCTTATCCTTATACCGCCGCATGCACATCAATATACGACACAATAACAACTCGCATCACAAGTGCCCATATGCCACAACTTGCCAAAATCAACAATACCAAAATTATCACAACATATAGCCTACGGCTCAACTACAATGTGAGCAAGAAGCTCAATAATAACAAAATGAACAAGAATTCCCCAACAAGGAAGGATATCTCAAAAATCAACAACTTCAAATAAGAATAACTCGACAATAAAGAAGGTAACATGATCATGAGAGAGATAG